TATTAGGGACAGACAGACAGACAGACGTAGGCTTTTATAATATTAGAATGCATGCATTTATGACTGAGGTTTCAATCTGGGATATCATGGAGGAGGTTTGAGTTCTATTTTAAGGTTTAAAATTCTGACCTGGGATTGCTGCAAAAGATCAGCCAAGACTACAGAAGTCCTCTAATTTTTAAAAAATGTACTGCCACTTGATAAACCTTAATAAGACAGATTCTTGAAAAAGTACCCATTTGATAGTAAGTACATATTGCTTAGAAGTTGAGAATGTTGACTTTCAGTGACCAATTAGAACCTTTTCGACAACAAATATAGTTTTTAAGTTTAATTTACACAAAACACTTACTAGATAGAACCATTAAATAATATCCCTTGGTTCTGGGTATTCTTTTTTTGGTGGTGAGGATGGCAGATACTTCTGATTAGAAGTACCATTTGGGATATACAGCGTATCCCAGAATAAGAAACACCTCTTGTTTTTTGAAAGGCAGAATGAAGAAAAAAAATCTTTACTTGTAGCACCACAAGTAATGAGCCTGCTCATTGTTCTTCTCCCTGTGGATCTTGGACAGATTTTACTTTTGCTTTTGCCTAGTTAAGAGGCAGAAGCTGCTTTTACCATATTTCTTGCGTATGAGCTGCACTTCAATTTCCAGCAGCTAGTTTTTGTAAAAAAAGGTGTATTGTATGTGAGAAAATACAGTATTTCTGAATATCTTTGAATATCGTTCAGAATATCTTGGATGACTGTTTTAAACACATGCTTGTAGTAACCAATATGGGAACAAATGATGTATCAAAATATTTTGATTGTCAGCAGCATACTCAAGTCAGTGTTTTCTGGTTAAAATTCTTTTTTTTTTTGCTGGAAAAATCCAAAGCAAGCAGTAGCCTGGTAGTAAGGACAGTAGTACTTGCAATGTGGGAGAATGGCAGAGCAGGGAATTAGTTATTTTTATTTATTGTATTTATTAGATGTACATGTTGACCTTTCTAAAAGAGGCTCAGGGCAGCACGTTATTAAAAAAAAAAGAAGACAGTACATATTAAAATAAGTATGACAAAGCAGACTTTCCCCAAATTACTCCCCCAAATCAAAACCAGTCTACCCCACCCCATCCATTCTCACTGCCCTGCCTCTTACCGAGAAGAGTGTTCCCTTGTGCCTAACCCAACCTCACTTCCCAAACTTCATTCACTACCTCCATAAAAGATAGAACCCCTCCTCCCACTCTCTTAATGTCCCCCTCAAGCCCATACCTCCCTTTCTCATAGGGGGGACCATAGTCGTCCTGCCCCCTCCCCACCCTAACTCCCCTGCCTCACAAACACAGGGGAATCTCTTTCCCATTCCCTTAATGTCTCTTCCAAGCCCATAACAGAAATACAATATCTCCTTCCCACCCTGTTCCCATCTCCAGTTCTAACCTGGCCAAAGGGCATCCCTAAGTGTCAACCTTTAGCACTACCTCCCTTGTCCCTATAAAACCCACAAGCTGGCTGGGCCTTTCCCCTTGCCAGGTTGGGTGGCCATGTGGTGTCTGCTCCAGGTCCTGGCCCTTTCCCATTCTAGGCTTGGTTTATGCGGGGGAGGGTGGGCGGGAGCCATACAGTCATGTCAGTAGACTTGAGCCTGACTTCAGATTAGTTTTCTGACCAGTGGGCTAAGGGCTGCACAGGGTGCAAATGCTCTGTCTCTGAAAAAACTTCAAAAGTTTGACTGAAATCTCAAAAAAAATTATTGCAGGAAGGGAAAATTGCTTCCTGCCAAACTCTATGTACAAGGCCCAAAGAAAGACTTCCTTTGAATAGTACAGAAAAATGCCACAAGAACATGGGAGTCTCAGGGTACAGACACATGACATATTTACTGAGTAGTAAATTGATTCTGCTGTAGAAAAAATAAAACAAATGCATGATACACAGCCATAGTATGTACTAAATCATTTGAATCCAAGGTAAAATTACCCTTTCAAAAATGTATTGTAATTTTACTGTGTTTGCTAGTTAGTGCATGGTATCTGTCATGTGTTTGCCCCTTATTCTAGGTGACATCTGGAATAAGTAATCGTGTTATGTTTCAGCTTCCCTCCCCAACTTACCTTGCCCCACACTGGCAGGCTTTGTCCACACTGATGCCTTGGGCCACTGAGCACAGCCCCAGCCCCGCTCTGTAGTAGCAGCATGCAACCTGCATGGCTGCTATGCGGCCTTGGCTGGGGTCATGCTGAGTGCCTTAGGATTCAGCGTAGATGGAGCCTGCCAGCTCAGAACAAGGGTAAGCGGGGAGGAAGTGGAGAGCAGAGGCTGGGGAGGAGTTGTGGGGGTAGAGACTAGGGGGAAGGGGTAGTCTGAGAATGCAGTGGGCAGAGGAACAGGTACAAGCAAGGGGGTAAGTTGCTCGATCTCCCCATACTACCTGCTCCCCCACTGCCTGCCCCCCTGCAGTGATGGGAGGGATGGATTAATGAGGACCCTCCAATAATTAGATTCTATACATGGAAAATTATAATAGATTTATACATTTTCCATGTATAGAGTCTAATTATTGAGGGGTCATCTTAAATTCAAGGTTGCCTTGGATTCAAGTGAATACGGTAGATAACGTGAGATTTTTCAGAAATAAAACACCTTGTGAATTCCTATTTCTGAAGACCTTTTCTTTTACTTCTCTGCTTGATATGAGAGTGGTTTCCTATTTCCTGTTTTCTTATTTGAGTTTTTTCTGGTAAATTAATTATAGGTTTTGAGTCCAGGAAGATTTTTCATTTGCAGCATGACATTTTTATAAAGTACAATATCCTTCCTTCAACAGGAGAGACTGATAAAAGACGACTGAGTGACCTTTTTTGACCATTATATTTAAAGGAATTCAAAAGATAGAAAAGGCTGTCAAAAAAGATGCCTTATCTTTTGATTTTTTAAATAAAATTGAATCATGCAAACAGTACAGAAAATTACTGTTATTACAAGTAAATCTAGATTATAGAAATTATAAATTTGTCAATATATATGAAATGTTTTGGTCTTATAAGTGCTGTTTTAATATGGTTGCCTTTGAATTATATTCAGTTGCGGGAAAATGAGAACATCTTTTAAAACGGGAAGATCAAAAAATCTTTTATTTTTCTCAATATATTAGAAAAACAGCTTTAATTTACTGTATTTTTAAATTATAACTCTCTCAAGTGTTTGTTTTCACAAATAGGATTTTTTTCTCTTTTATAGGAAAATTCCTTGAAATAAATGTAAGTGGCATAATAGTTTTATCTGAAATTTTTTTTAGGAAGTCTTTCCATTTACAAACTTTGGGTCTGCTACTAATGTTTTGGTTTTTTCCGCTGTAGGGATTGTTAAAAATATTTGATCAGTTTGAGAACAAATTCTGAGGTGGTTAAAGATGCATCTGGAACCAGTATGATCCATAGAAGTCTAAGTGCCGTGTGGAGCCCAGCTCCATAGAAAATGTCTATGTGGTTAGGATAGGGCCAAATAATAATTATGTAATAAAGTAAAGGCATGGATTTCTCCTGTGTTTTATTCCTTGCAAAACCAGATGTGTATGTGTTGTGATTCCACATAAATTCCACAGTGGTATTCCAGCAGTTGCTGTTTGATCCAGCTACTTAGCCAAAAGTTTGGTGTTGGATTTGAATTGAATAGAACGTGTGTTCTAATATGGAACTCGTAGAAAACACTTCCTGACTGCAATAAAACTCTATTCATAATCCGCGTAACCTTGCCAGTAAAAACTTCTAAAGGTCCCTGGATTTGTAAATCACAATGTGATGTAAGAAACATTGAAGCATTCTCACTGGAGTCATTCTGATGATATCTTCCCCTGTGCAAGATGCCATTTGGGAGCTGAATATACAGGGCAAGAAAAAGTCTGTGGGGTATGATGGGATATAATGCCTTCTTAACTCAGCATCTGAACTATTCTAGGATGTTCAATCTTTAGTTTGTTCCATACTTCCCATATTGTTCTAATTATGGTGCTGTGTTGATAAAGTACAATTAGAATTATTTCAGTTGCTTCAAAAATAATTTGAAAAGGCCTACAACTACAAGGATCAGAAATTTTAAATTCTCACAAGCAAGTTTAATCTGAATGAACAGCAATTCTTTAGCAACAGATCACACTAATACAGACACTGCAATAGGCTTAGAGGTCCTATTTAAATAGGCTGACAGTGCTCCAAGAGTTAAATTCAGTGTAATGGGAACAAACAGGATTTAATGAACATTAGGCATGCATCTCCTCTTATCACCTATTTTAGAGATAAAGATGGTTACAAATGCTATTGCAAGGAAAATTTCCACTCTCCATTAGTATGTGATTTCCCTTGTGTCCCTTAGCAGCGTTTTAGGATAATGCTGGTGTATAGCACTCATTGCTCCTCTCTTCCTATTCCTCCTCTGGAAGAATCTGTCTCCTTAGATTCTGATGCTGCTCAGCATGTGGTAAAATTTGTCTATTGTGTATTTAGCTGTATTTTATAGGGGACGTGGATTAACATGTATCACTTCAGTGTATAAAGCTGCTGAGGGTTTTCTTTCTTGCGCTGCATGAATAAGGAATGAGTCTTTTTTCTTGTCTTTCTCCCTCTTCATCCTCAGTGACTTTTTTCATACTCATATTTACTTATATACAGGTGCTTCTGTTTTACACTTCCTCTAATCATTTAATTTTTCCACAGTCTCTCTCTGCAAAAACAAAAGCTTGTAAGAAAGTGACAGTGTTGAGATTGTTTTTTCAGACGTGGCATATTATATAAAAAAAGAATTGGATGATCCTTATATAAAGGTGAGTAACTTAGAAATATGTCCATAAGTGAATAAGATTTATTTTTTCAGAGGGAAATTGTACTTTGCTAAAATTTCTAAGTAATCTGCTGTGTGACTCTCATTTACCTGTATAGTTAATTTTACTTATGCAGCTATTTTTCTCACAGGACCCCCTGCTTAATTTGCTCTACAGGTTGGAGTGGGTCTATAAAGTGTCTTGTACAATCGAGGCTGTTGCCTGGCTCAGCATGTGCAATGCTTGGAAGGTGTGTAGTGAGTAAGGCAGGAGGCTGAGGAAAGAGAAAGAAGGGTAAGACACTTGCATACTGTCTTGGAGAACTTTCTTCCTAACTTTAACTGTGGTCAGTAATTCTGTTCCTCACTTTGTGACTGTGAAGCCTAAGATCCCAAGGTCTGATTGTGGGAACATTGAGCACTCACAACTGCAAGTCAAGCCGATGAAAATAGTGCTTGAATTTCTCACATGCCGTAGAATGGCACATACTTAGAAAAAACATGCTTATAAGTACCATATTTTGGGTATCAACAATTAGTGGGTACTTCTTAATAGATGGGAATTGAAGCACTGAAATCTTAAGTAGGATCAATAGCACCCCCTTACAGGGCTTTTGTGAACACATAGTAATTAATGTTTGTGAAGATGTTATAGTGCAGAAGACTTTGGAAAAGCCCATGAGGAAATCTATAAGTTTCTTCAGAGCAAACTTTGAATAGTATCTAGTAAATAAGGCATGGACACCCATCTTTAATTATGATGAGGACAAATAAATAGCTGCTCATTAATTAAGCATTTGTCCATTCTGTAGACAGGCAGAGGCAGAGGTCCTGTGGAAAAGATATTGTGTGACGATGTATCTATTATATGTACACAGGGGTGGATCCAGAGGGGGTGCAGCCCCCTTTTTAGACCAAACTGCAAGAACAGCACTCAAGGACTTTAATTCTCTGAAGCAGGCAAGAATTCCCCTCCCTCCTTCCCCTTTCTGCTCAGCAACATATTGCTTCTCCTCCATTTCTGGTCCTAGCCTGGCACTGCCAATGACTTTAGCTGCCCAAGGGTGGGGTGCTCCTGCCCCTCTCCAGGTGGGCTGCATGGGGAGCTGACAATAGGCAGCAGTGACAGTAGGTGAGTTCTCATTCTTTGCTCAGGCAAACCTGCCCCCAGGGGGAATGCTTCAGGGGGCAGGTGCCACCAGTGCTGCTGCTGCTGTCCCCAGCTGAGCTGGAGCAGGGCAGAAGAACCTCCAGAACTCCCCCTGACTCTCAGGCCAGCCAGGGGAAGCAGTAAGAGGGACAGGGGAGCAGAGAGGAGATGCTGTAGAGCAAGGGGGGGGGGGAAGATTCTTACCTAATTTGGGGACTCAAAAAAGGCCCTGGTTGCTGCCTCTGTGGTGTTGTGCAGTGTGGGGAAGAGCTGGGAATGAAGGTACAGTCACCCTGCAGTACCAGTCACTACTCCCACCCACACACCTTTTTATAACATCCTGGATCCACCTATGCCTGTACATAATACATATGGAGAAAGGCAATATATTAAAGTTGTATGAGGCATCTCCATTCTAGAATTTCCTGTCTTTTGATTTCTTGAATTTTCACCATAAATCATGTTGTTTTAATGTACATTTTGTGTGTGTAATCGTATTAAGGGGAATAAAAATAAGCAGAATGTGTCAAGGAAATGTATTGAGCACTTTAAAAGCTGTTCCTTACTCAAAGGTAGGTGTACATTGCAATCTGTGGTATGCCTGCGGTGTGTCTGAAATACCTAAGCTAGTTTTAAAGTAGTGTCAGGTACTGCAAGAAGTGTAGCTGTGGCAACAGCTCAACGTGGGCTACCCTCTTGGGTATCTAACCAGGGTTCTGGGAGGGTTTATCAAAGTGAATGCATTTTTCTCAAAATGCTGGAGGGTGAGACAGAGTGTGGAGTCAGAGGACTAGCTAGCTCTGGTAGCCAGGAGATCAAGCTGGGAGTTGGGTTCAGGGAGGGATCAAGCACCAGTAAACACACAGGCCATGAGGAACAACAATGCAGTCTGGGTAAGAGTTAAGCCCTATTGACCAGGTACTTCCTCTTCTGGGTCAAGGAGGGAGTAAAGGGTTAGCCGACTCTGGCTGGCTGCTTGGGCTAGGTATAGACATTCAAAAAGTCTGAAGCTGAATCGATTCAGTCTTTACAGGTTAGTCTAAAGTGCAGAGATTAAATTGAAACAGAAGCGAACAGACTTACCTTTGGGTCAGGAAGTGCAGCCACATGCCTGCAGTGGTTCAAGCCAGAAGCTGGGTGGGGGGGAGGGCGCTAGAGCATGACGCTCTGGCTGTGTGTTCACTTCCACTTCCTTCTGCTCCTGAGGTCTTTGGGGTTTGCAGTCCAGAATTATATCAGCAGGACTCTGCAGGGTTGCTCATCACTTCTTCCTGCTTCCAGGTGCCTCTGGGATTTGCATTCCACAGTTGAAGCCAGCAGTAATTTTAAGCAGGGGAAGGGGTGTTTGACTCCCCTCCCTGGCTTTGCCTGGGGGTGGGCAGTCCCTCCCGCTGGAGACCGGGCTTGCCTCCCACCTGCCCCATCCTTCCACTCTTGTCAGTCAGCTCTCACTACTCCAGCTAGGGAGCAGAGGGGCTGGGCCAGCCCTGTTCTCTGGAGTAGACAGCAGAGTACAGCCCAGGGCTGGAAAGCATGCTGGAGGCTGTGATTTAACTTCAGCCAGGAAGGGGTCTGGGACAGAAGTTTCGTAAACCAGTTTGACCCGGATCAGTTAAGTCTGGTACTGCATTCAACCAGGTTTATCTTAAACCAGTTTTGGCCATTTTGAAACTGGTTTATGTGCACTAAACTTCTGTTCTGTTACAGGTTTAAACTAGTTTCTGATCACTTAAACTGGTTTATGTTTAACTTCTGTCCCTAGCCCTGGGTGGTAGGGAATGGGTAGATGATTAGACTCAGATGGGGGTTTCCAGCTGCCTTTGTTCAGCCTGAGTAGTTAGCTGGAGAGATGGCAGACTTGGGTGAGTGGCTAATCCAGGTAGGCCAAAGGCTTAGGTTCAAGACTGGCCTGACTATCAATAGGAAGCAGTACTGAAGGTTTTCCCCATATTGTTCTAATAATGTGTCTCGAAGCAAGAGGGTAATTCAGGTCCTGTGTCAAGTTAATCTTTGGTGCTTCTGCTGAGCCAAGTATAGTGTCAAATAATGAAGACTGTTGGGTATGGACACCTTGAAAATAGATGGAAAGTCACCAGATTAATTTCACAAAGGCATCTAAATAGCCATCAGTAACAGTTAGGTTTTAAGTAACTAAACAGGAATTCTGAAAGGAGGGTTTATGAAGTAACAATTTCTCCTCATTTTGAGATTAGGGATGAATTAGGTGAGGTTAGGGAAGAGCAAATCTGAGGTCTGCCATTGACTACTCAAATCCAAATTTATTTTCATTTTCAGAAACCAAATCCCTGAGGCTCTCCTGGTTTGTAAGACTTAGATTTACACAGTCTTCCCTGCCAAGCATGATCAAAGACTGGAAAACTTTTCTGGGCTCTCCTGACATGAGAAGGAGCTTTAAGAATATAGAGCTGCTTTTTGCTAGCCGATTTAAATAGGGCAGATTCCCTTGTGCTCCTCACCAAATAATGTTTTGGTTGTGTTATCACAACACAGAGTCATGATCTATCATGGTACTGATAGTTAAAAGAAATGTCTGTCCTGCACTGCTTCTTGTATAGTCTTTTATACAAATCAGAATTGCAGTACTTACTAGGGCTGTGTGAAATGGCACCATTCCATTTCACCTTGAGTTTTGATGGAACAGCGTTCCTTTTCAAATTTCATTTAGATCTGAAACAGCTGTTCCATTTTGTTTTGTTGAAACAGTGAGGCTGTTTCAACATTTTTGACGTTTCGCTAGATCAGGCTGGGGGTGGGGAGTCAGCCCAACTGGGCTGACCCCTGCCTCCCATCCCATCTAGCACTGGGGAGGGGAACGGAGCCATTGGGCTCAGTTCCTTTCCCCAGCCCAATTGCTGAGCTGAGCCTGGGCTCAGTTCCCTTCTCCTGCACTGTTATTGGCTTCCCACAGCCCCATGGCGGGAGATGGGGAGAGCCAGGGCTGTGCTACAGCCTGATGTGGGCTCAGTTCCCTTCTCCTGCACTGTTATTGGCTTCCCACAGCCCCATGGCGGGAGATGGGGAGAGCCAGGGCTGTGCTACAGCCTGATGCTGGAAGCGCAGCCCTGGTTCTCCCCTGTCTCTCACCACCTCGCTGCTGGTTGCTTCGAAACATTTTGACTAGCCTCGTTTTGTTTCAAGGCTGTTTCAAAGCCCTTCATTTCGATTCAATTTCACGGTTTCGAGCTTGAAAATGAGTCGAAACAGTATCGAATTGAAACAGCTGGTGAAATTCCGCATAGCCCTAGTACTTGCATCTACTTTTCACTAGTGTAAAAACTACGCTGGGGCCAAACAACATACTGTTAGTCTCCCAGTGCTGCTTGTATTACATCCTGCAGATACATAACTTTCATAATTACTCATCTGTCCTGTGCCAGATGAAAGTGAAATAATGCAGTAGAAATATCTGTGTGATTACCTGACTCTTCCTCTTTATCCAGACAGCTAAAGCTTTTCTCCAGGCTTTTTCCTGCTTTATTTACTGCAGACTCTTTACCTTG